GAAGAGACGAAAGGGGGGGGGGGGGGGGGGGGGAGGGAAGGGAATAAAAAGACCGCGGGAAGCCGATTAGGCAAACAAAAGATGCGGAGGATCACTAAGTAGGTAATTTAAAGTAAAGGTAAACAAACAAAAGCTCAAAGGAGCCTAGAAAAATAGCCAAAAGGCAAATAGCGAAGCGCTCAATCTTTCCTGAGAACCGTTCAGATCGGCGGAAAAAAGGAACTGGGGAAGATGGTGGGTGGGAGGAGCATATACCTCGTGGAGGATCACACCATAAAATTGTTACTTTTAGCTCTAGAATGTTCCGAGAGAGTCAGTGCCGGCGCAGACAATACCCATATGTGTGCATTCACAGAGGCCACAAAAAAGAAAAATAAATAAATCAAAGGAGAGAGGCAGGCCTTCCCCACCCAAATTCGTGCTTTCAATCAACTTACAAGATTTCCAGATTCCTACCTATGAAAGATCCACAAAGTGCAACCTTACTCCACAGAACCTTACCCTTTTGAGGAAACTCCAATCAAATGGAACATGAGCTTCAGATTCTGTTTACAGTGGACCCTCTACTTACGGAATTAATCCGTATTGGAACGGTGGCTGCAAGTCGAAAAGTCTGTAGGTCGAATCTCCATTGACCTACAATGCATTGAAAACCGATTAATCCCATAACTGGCAGTTTTTATTCTATTTTTGTTCCATTTTGGATTTTTTCTGGTCTGTAAGTCGATTCTGTGTCTGCAAGTCGAATCTAAATTTTGCGGCCAGAGAAGTATGTAACTCGAAAGTCTGTAAGTCGAGCCGTCTGTAAGTCGAGGGTCCACTGTAATTTAGCTCACTTAATGATGTGTATTCCTATACTATACTGTCTATTCTGTTCATATTTCAGAAGAAATGGTAAAATTGCATAGTGCAAAGACAGCTATTTAGTAGTCAGATATGGAAACCCACACAAGGAGCTCGACACAGCAATTCATGGGTGTTCCCTCCCATTCTCTGCCCTCATTTAAAATCAGAAACACCTCTGACATCAATACAGACCTCTTCTCTTTCTAAAGGAATGGCTTATTCCTGGCATGAACAAAGAAAGTAAGACGTTACCTTTCTGAGTTCTCTTCTCTGCTGAGGCTTGTGAAGCCATGTAAATAGCTGCAGCGGCAACCGAGATGGGACTCCTTCCTGGAACCAGGTCTAATTCCACCGCTTTACGTGCAATGTGTGTTGCAGCCATCTGGACTTGCTTAGGGAGACCCAGGTTGGAACAAAACCTGGACATGAAATCTCCAGTTGTGATCAAATCCACACTTGTTTCCAAAGCTTTCAAAATGAGTTTAAAACACCGGCCTATTTCTTTTTTGGAAATTCTGGAGACAGCACATATTTCTAAAAAAAATAAACAAAAGTATGTAAAATCCCCACACAAGAGGGCTAGCATGTGCACGCACAGAGTCACATCTTTGATATGACATGATCACATTAGGACTCTTTTTCTCCAAATCACACTGCTGCTCTTGGACACAGTGGTTAATCATTGGAACATTACTCCCACCCTCAAACATTCTATGTATGATTTTATATATGAGATGTAATGAATGGAATATATTGTAATAATTCACTCTGGCTGTAACAGATAGAAAAGTAGAAAAATACAATAATATTTGATAAAAATTATCACTTTACCTTCCAAACTTCACAACAAAAGAAAATCCAAATCAGAAAATTGCAAAAATTTGCATGATATATATTATTTGTTTCTCTTTCAGGTGCCATAAATCTTGTTTTTTACTTTTGCTATGCATGCAGAAAAGGGAAAATCAAAATTTAAAACATGAAGCCAATTTCCCCACAGATGCTTTGCTGCACTATTCTTGGACAGTGAAAAACAAAATGGTATTATACCTAATCAAGCATAGGGCAACGGAAACTACGTGGGCCACAAGTCACAGTAGAGTTACCTTTAAATGTTCTAGGAACACCCTCTTGTCTGCAAGCAATGTAGAGACAAGCGGAGGCAATAGCATCATTACTTCTTCCCTTCAGGCTCTTCTGCTCGTATACTTGCTTGAATAAATTATTTGTTCGATCCTTCAAAGCAAGCAGACAAAATTTAATTAACTCCAGGGCATTTAATTAGCAATAATATCAAAAATTCATGTGCTCATTATATTATGCTAACTAAGTAAACGCCAGAACAATTTGAGAGGAAGAAGCAAGAACTTACAACTATATTTCGGGGGAGATTGATTCTGTCTGCCATGCTGGCAATTTCTTTAAATGCATTCATCATTGCGCGGTCAGAGGTGCTCATTGTCCTGCGGTTTTGATACTTGGAATTCCCAAACTCATCGAAACTCGCTGCCCCTGTGCCCTGTAGTAAGAGAAAGGTTCACACTCCATCAGAAAATATGCAAGACACACACTCTCTCTCTGTAACAAAGAACATTTTTTTTGAACAGGGAAAGTGAAGACAATTCTCAGCCTGTGATAATCAGCACCCTTTAAAATTTCCTTGTGGAACGTCACTTCCGTTCGGAGGAATGACCAGCTAAGAGCTGAACCTCCGTATCCGCGGCATGGTAAAAAAGCTTTTAAAATGCATTTCTTCTTCTAGAAGACTGGTTCTTTTTGCGTAAATCTTTGAAGGGAAATATAAGGAATGTGTATATTTAATTAAACTCTCTAAGGACTGTGTTGCTTTAAAACTGAAAACTACTTTCACTTTTGGGTCCCATAAGCTGCTGCATTTCTCATACTGCCCTGCTCCTAATGAAAAGCTTGTAACAATAATTATTACTCTTAATTAGACTTCTCTATGTCAAGGAGGAGAGATAAATCTGCTAAAAACCCCACTTGGATAAGAGAAAAAACCCAGTACCCTCAGATCTCAGTTTGGAAAGACTGATGAGGACAACAATTGAAAAAGATAAACAGGAAGCAATGGAAGAAAGAGCTCATGAAGGCTGTAAAAGACATGTCCTGTAAAATGTCTGAAGGCTTTGATCAAACAGAGAGACAAGCTAAGTCTATTGAAATGAACATTATTAAGTTCCAAGATCAAATTTCAGGGGTCTCACAGGGGCTGAAAGATCTCAAAAGCAAAACTAAAGAGCTTGGAATCAGGGTTGAATCAGATTTAAAAAAATATTAACAGCTTGGACGAAAAAATCAATGAAACCAATAAAAGGCTGATCTACACAGAGGATAACCTCAGAAGGTCTAATATTAAAATAATGAATTTCCAACTGCAACACAGACAAGACCTTAAAAAAGAGATTATAGCTTGGGTTAACGCCATAATGGGCACACAGCATGTGGTTGAACAGGACACAGAAAGAGCACATTTCCTTGTCGTC